CAATAATTTCTGTAAACTTCCTAAAAACTGTAAATTTTGACTAAATTCCATAAAATTGGCAAAACTTACTCTTGTTAATGTTCACACACTTTCAAAAACCTTAATTTATTCATTCCTAATCATAAAAACTAAAAAAAGAAAAAGAATCCGTAAAATTCATTTATAAAACATGGTGGGCCTTACTTTGTTTTGAGTCAGCAATCTATGGAGAACCGTTCAGCAGTGAGTTAAAAAAATTAATAAATAATAATAATAATAATAATGGCTGAAACTTGACTTTTTCATTTATGTCAACTAATTTAAAACAAATAATTTAACTTGTTTTAAATTATTTGACATAAGTAAAAAAGTCAAATCCAAGTAAGAAGTCGAAATATTAGCTCATTTGCCGTGTGTAACACCCACCCTTTATATTTAATGTGCTTTCTTTATATTGTGTTTTCGAATGTTTATTCATTATTTAAAAAGATACCACACACGAAAGTTTACTCTGTGGCAACCCAAGTGACAAGTTGTAAAATAATAGCTCCAAACAATTTAGCAAAATTAAATATTGTAATCTGATAATATCCACCTCAATTTTTAGTTACAGTTGTTAAATAATACTTAATTGTGTTGGTAAAATAAGTAAAAGTCATAAGTATTTTAATTATATAGTGTTTTGTGTTTCAACTAAAAGTGACAGCTGTAGGTAACGAACATCGTTTGAACTTTCTGTAAGTTATTGTAATTTTCTTGTTATCCCTTTAATATTTTAAGATTTATCTTTTAAATTAGTGCAGTTTCGGATTTCAATTTGAATTATTTACCTGATAATTTAATTTGAGATCTGTAAGTAGACCCATAGATCTAGATATTAGCTTACTCTGTTTCTTCGGTTTTCTTTCTTTGTTTTCTTTTGCTATTTACACATAATAGTAAAATGAATACACGCAACGCCAAAACGCGCCAAATGGAGAACCAACTTCAAATGGCGCTTCTAGAACTTAAGGCGTCAAAAGAGCAGTGTGAGCTGTTGCTTAAAGAAAGGGATGACAACGAAAAGGAAATAATAAATATAATTGCCAAAAATAGTCAACTAAAAAGTGATATGGTTAAGTTGCATAAAGACTACACAAATGTTTTAAAAGAAAGGGATCAGCTTCAGGAAACAGTCGATGAATTTGACCGATGCAGCAAAGAATATGAGGAATCCCTCAGATTAATTGCTGCATTGCAGTTGCAGTTAAGTGAGGCTAATGAGCAGATTTTGCAATTAAAACAATACTTAGATGAATTGAAAGTGTCTCAAACTCAAAGTCTGTTCAATGAGCTCATAGAATGTAAATCATCAAAAACATTGCATCCCTCCACAACAATCGATTTGACTGGTGATGATTTTGTCACATCTAGAACAGCAGAAAGGATTACATGCAGTAGAAGAAAATTAAAGAAATACATAAAAATTAATAAATATGTTAGGAAAGTACAAAAGGTAATTAAAAAAAAATTAATACAAAAATTATATAAATATATGTAAGGAAAAGCATGTATTAATTAATAAACTTAAATTATATGCAATTGAGGTGGAAAATATGAAAAACTGTTATGAGACTGAAATAGAGTGTCTCAATTCAGAAGTTTTGTCGCTTAAAAACTCCTTAGAAATTATCTCAAATAAATATGCATCGGCTCAGGTTGAGATAAAAGAACACATATTGGCCATGAATGATCTGGTAAAGTCATGTAAATACAATGAGGAGCGCTTTGACTCCTTAATAAAACATCAGAGTGAGAATCAACGCTCCATACCATGTTCATCGGGGACAATATGTGTAAATAGCAATGACTCCTTATTTTCACCAACACTCTATGACGGTGCCATAACACAGAATAAAAACTTAAAAAGTAGTTTAAATATTAAAAAACATAAAGTTATTATGTATTGTGATGACATAGGTAAAAATTTGGGCATGATGTTAAATAACCATTTGAAAGGACAATTGATTAGTAATTATTGTATGCCTGGAGCATCGTTTAGTCATATAATGAATAAAGTTTTAACCAGTAAGTTTTCTCCTAATAATAATTCCTCCTAATAATTCTTGTTGGGAGAAGAGGCAATGTAAACAAAAATCAATTATTAAAATATATTGATTACCTCAATACTTTAAATGTACATAAAATTATCTTGTTTACATTGCCTTACATACAGGGTTGGCCACAAGAGAATAAAATAAGATATGATTTAAATTTATTAATGAATAATTTATCATGTAACAATAATTTAAATTTGACATTTAATTGTAACAATTATACCAATAGAATTAATTTAATAGATATTAATAATTTAATTAAGAAATTTTTGACTACAGATAGGTATTACCTATCCAAATATAATTTAAGACAGATAGCAAATGTGCTATCTTATTATTTATATATTAACTCAGCCAAGGACTTGGCTACCCAGACATCTGCTCCTATTGAGCAGCATAATGATTTGACATGTAATTTGGAATCCGTTCCAAGTAATTTAAATTAGAAAATGAGACAATAGAGGTAATCTCTAGCAGTTATAATAATTTAAATAATTTAGAATGTAGCTTACAAATCCTTAATAGTTGCAATTGTATAACTCCACAAAATGATATTAAAAATTGTTTACACCTGGTGCATCAGAATATACAAGGCATGATAGGCAAAGAGCTAGAAATTGAATTGTTTTTAAATAGCAACAATATTCATATTTTATGTATTACTGAACATTGGTTAAAAGCTCATAATTTAATGTTTAACTTTAGTAATCACCAGGTGCTCAGTTCTTTCAATAGAGAAACGATTTTAAGAGGTGGCTCCTTAATTTTAGCTAGTAAATTATTATCATATAAAGAACGTAAAGATATTGTGAGCCTCTCTGTTGAGCGAACTGTAGAAATGGCATGTGTTTAGTTTGAGCACCTCATTGTTGTGAGCGTTTACAGACCCCCATGTTCATTATATGATACTTTTGAAAAAATTATGGAGGAAGTTTTCGCTAAGCTTAATAAACAGAATAAATCTGTTGTAATATGTGGAGACTTTAATATCAATCTCCTAGAAGCTTCCTCCACTAATATTAAATTTAGATCATTGTTTAAATCTTATGGTCTTTTTAATTTATTTTTGGAGCCAACACATATTGCTGAATCTAGTGCAACATGTATAGATAACATTTTTACAAATGTTAAGCCGTTCAATAAATGTATTATTCAAAAAATTGAGCTCTGATCACTGTGGACAATTTGTTTCATTACCTTATGTTCACAAAAAGCAAGTAGATAAAAAAGTGGTGTTTGTTCCAGTAAATGCACATCGCTTGGAGAAGTTTAGAAGTAACATAGTAAAAAAACTTCCATTACTTTCATACCAAAATAATCCAAATTTTTTGTATGCAAAATTATTTAAGCTCATTTGCAATGAATTTAATAATACTTTTGCTTCTAAAACACTCTCCTTGAATAATCGTAAAGCATTTAATGAATGGGCGACGGTAGGAGTCCATAAGAGTAGACAAAGGTTATATGAACTTTACAATGAAAGGTCATATAATCCTAGCGTCGAATTTAGGGAATATGTAAAAAAATATTCCAAAATATTTAAAAGAGTGTGCTCCTTAGCCAAGTCATTGTATTTAAGCAACAAAATAAAGACTGCTTCTAATAAAATTAAAATGACATGGAGTATAATTAATAGTGAAACTGGTAAGGTCAACTCTCGCAATTCAAACTACCAGTTAAGTTTTAACAATAAATTAATTAAATCATATTTGGACGTTGTAATGGTTTTCGTGAAATATTTTACTGATATCCGATTTTAACCACTAAGTCAACTGAATTCTTCTCCTACCGTCGCCGAATCATTACTTAAACAAAATGTAAATGTGTGTACAAAGAATTTTACATTTCATAAAGTTTCATCAAAAGATATTGTAAAATATTTTAAGACTATTGATATTAAGAGAACCGCCGATCTGTGGGGGATTTCTGTTGAAGTTATTGCGTCTATAATAGATACAATCGCACCTCAACTATCTATTATTTTTAATAGTAGTATCAAATCTGGTGTGTTTCCTGATTTAATGAAGCATAGTAAAGTAATACCTTTATTTAAATCTGGTAGTACATTGGACCCCGCTAATTTTAGACCTATTTCTGTACTGCCAACACTTAGTAAAATTTTTGAAAAAATTATTCTTGATCAATTGTTAATTTTTTTTAATGTAAATAAATTACTTCATAAAAATCAATTTGGTTTCACAAGGGGTCGCTCGACAACTGATGCTGGTGTTGAGCTGATTAAATATATATTTAATGCATGGGAGAATTCACAGGATGCTTTGGGTTTGTTCTGTGACCTATCCAAGGCCTTTGATTGTGTTCACCATGAAACATTAATCAGGAAACTTCAACACTACGGTGTAAGAAATGATGCTCTTAAATTAATTATTTCATATTTAAGTGACAGAACACAAAAAGTTGTTATTAATAGTATGAGTTCTTCCGGGTCGATTGTACAAATGGGCGTGCCTCAGGGCTCAATTCTTGGCCCTTTCTGTTTCTTGTATATATTAATGACTTACATTACATATTAGGGGATAACCGTGATATAGTATTATTTGCTGATGATACTTCATTAATTTTCAAATTAAAACGACAGTTATTAAATTACGACGAAGTAAATAATGCTATAGCTAAGTTATTCAATTGGTTTAATGTTAATAATTTGCATTTGAATGGAACCAGTGCTTCCAGATCCCAAAAGTAAAATTACAGTGTTGCCAGTTAAAAAATACAGGAGTTTCTAAAAACAATACAGTAGATTTCAAAATCAATTACAGTAAAATTACAGGAAACACTTTGTTTAAATATTGATAGAAAAATAAGCTGCTTTATGACTCTTTATCAATACAAATTGCTATAAGTTATTAAATAAATAAAAACATATATTTAGATACAAGAAAAAAACATTTATTATTGATTTACTTATTCCAGAACAATTTGCTCATGATTTTCATAAATCTTTGCTGTCATCCTTGAAATCATTTCCTTAGTTGGATTAAAATTCACGCAATTTTCGGAAGTCCGCCGAATGGCTTGCTGAGCTAGCATGTTGCCTTTGATGGTATTTGTGACTAAACAGTTTCTCTGCTTTGTTTTTATATTATTTATTTCACTAAACTTTCGTTCGCACTCAGCGTTCGAGTGAGGCAACGATAAAACTTGGAGCATAAAACGAGGCAGAAAATGATATTTATTATCTCCGTTGCTATCTTTGATTTGAGACAACTGAAAAAAAAACAAATCTGTAAAATGTAAACATATGTGCAATATTATACGTAAAGTTCTTAAGTGATAAAATTTTACCTGATGCCAAAACACGTCTGCTGGTTGATTTGTATTCAAATGTTGTTCATCCGCAGTCAACATTAAATTTCTCCATTCATCATCTAACGTCTGTTGATCATTTAAAGTTTGGGGTTTAAGCCTTGGCAGCACTGGGAACAGCGAAGACAAAGACTGTAGTCTATTATCAGATAAGCAAGAATCGGGATCCAACTTTGCGATTGAGCTCAAAACTGGGTCATTCAAACTGTATCTTTTCCGAATACCCACGCATGCTTTAACGATAAAATTCAGGCATTTCTGTTTCATCACTGTAACTTCTTCGGTACTTACATGTAGCTCTGGGACAGCAACTTGATTAGCAACACCCAATCCCAGGTATATATTTTTCAGATTTATGTAATGTTGACTATCAGTAGGGTCAATTGCGTCGAGTGGGGTGTTCTTTAAATGATTCGGAGTTATGTATAAGGATAAGAGTTCTCTGTATAGCTCTTTCATTTTGTTATGGGCTTCTATAATAACCGGATCTTCGCTTTGAAAATATACATTGACGCGGGTAAACTTTGGCAACATCCAACATAAAAAATAAAAATATGCCTTGATGATGTGATCATTCAAAAGAATATGAATGGCTTGGCAATCTTGGTCTTCCAGCCATTTATCGTCAAAGTACAATCGCAAAGCGTCCCATTGCTCCATAATTCTGTTCACAACACTGGAAAGAGACAACCAACGCGTTTGGGCTGGACGTAGCAATTTGTGTATGTTAGTGTCTGTAAATACTTGAAATTCCTTTAACTCTGCTTGACGTTTGCTACTATTTTTGAAGTAATTGTATATCATTCGAGTCAGTTTTTCTGCATCGTGGGGCAATTCTTTGCAAGCGTCGGAAGCGCACAAATGTAAAGAATGGCAAAGGCATTTGATCACTGTAATACCTGGACATAGTTGTCTAAATCGTGAGGACACTGAATTATGGCAGCCCATCATCATATTACATCCATCAGAACCAAACCCGATAGTATTTTCTAAGGGTATATTTTTTGTCTCGAAATGATTTTATTATTGAATTAAATAATTTTTCAGCCGTGGCTGAGTAATCACCAGACGTTCCAGCTTTTTTGTCATCAAATATTTGAATAAGGTCCCAGAATCGACTGACGATACGTCCTAAATTAGGATCATAATATTTGACTACAACACACATTGTTTTCACACTGGCAACATCGGTACTTTCGTCTACCATTATAGAGAACTTTTCGCGTTTTAAATCTTCGACTAAACATTCTCCTTCAGAAGCCCCGATAACGTTATTTATTATTGCTTGTAATTTAGTGTGTTTAAGTTTGATATTACTTGCGATTTTAGAATCTGGAAAAGCTTTTGGAAGTAAATCAACGAGATGATCCATCACTATGTGCGATATTTTATGTTCTGCCATAAAAGCCGATAATTTTAATTCTGTAATTTTCCGCTGATCATCATCACTTGCGCGTTGCTGACTTTTAAAAAATATTATCAATGGTACGCACATGCGATAGGGCAGGAAGACGAAGTTTATGCTTAGCACCTTCACTGTGTCTTTTAATAGCACCCAGATCGGCAATCAAAGAAGAATCGCAAACAGTGCAAATGCATTTATAAATCGACTTTTTATCACGCTTTAACCACTTACGGTAGTCTTGTAATTGAAGCCATTCATCACGGAATTGTTGCCGATATTTCTTTTTAGCTCTTGACGGACCAGCATCGCTACGCACATCACTTTCCTCACTGCTTGAGCTCATTTTTACAGTAATAAATACAGTGAAAAAAATTATAGCGAATAAGTTTTTAGTTTAAATTTTATTTCACATCACCCAAAACAATTAAAAAGTTTAAATCTCAATTAAAATGTATGTACAATGGCAAAACTACTTTAAGTGTAATGAATTAGACGAAAAATACAATGTTCCTTTGTAAGACAGTTAAAACAAGTAACAAGAACCTACTTATGCTAGTTGCGTCCCAGAGTGCTCCACGTTAGTTCCGATTTGCCAGGGAATTCCCCGCAACTTTGTTACAAACTTACTGTACATTGTCTATGGATAATGGCGCTAGCACTCTTATTAGTTTGTGGTTCAGTGGGTGTAGATCATAGATAAATAAATTTGTAGCAAGGTAGTGTATTAGCATCATATTAGTCTGTGGTAGTGTAGATTAGCTGCGTTCTGTTTTACGTATTAGAATTGATAAAGCTATATGAAAATTAAATACAGTATATTCCATACACTGTATTTTATCATTACAGTATACAGTAGAAAAGTCTAAAATACAGTAAATCTACTGTAATTACAGTGAATCTGGAAGCACTGAATGGAACTAAAACTAAATGTATGAAATTCGTAACTCCTAATGTTAAACATGTCAATACTAATGTAATTTTAAATGGGGAGGAACTGAGTCTTGTTGATACCACCATTTTTCTTGGAATCACACTGGACGCAAAGCTTCAATGGCTCCCCCATATATCAAAACTAGCTAGCAGACTTAGTTCTGCAGCATATGCTGTAAAAAAAGATTAGAACTCTTACCAGTGTTGAAACAGCTAGAATAGTTTACTTCAGTTATTTCCATAGCATTATGTCGTATGGTATTTTGCTATGGGGACACGCGACTGACACTGAAATTATATTTATTTTACAGAAGAGGGCCATTAGAGCAATATATAATTTAAAACCAAAAGAGTCACTGAGACAAAAATTTAAAGAAATTAATATATTAACTCTGGCCTCTCAATACATTTATGAAAATGTAATGTACGTACACAAAAATAAAAGTAGTTTTGCGAAAATAAGTGATATTCATTCTGTAAATACTAGGAACAGACACAAGCTGGTAGTACCAGTTACTCGACTCCACCGAGTCAGTAATTCATTCTTGGGGCGATGTATACGCTTTTACAACAAAATCCCAGAAAATATACAAAATTTGTCATACACAAAGTTCAAAAATGTTATTAAACTAAGTTTGTATAAAAAGGGTTATTATAATATTAAGGAATTTATAGATGATAATAACCCCTGGGAAGGGTGATCGCTACCAAGCTATTTCTAATTTGTCTTGTGTTGTTGATTGTAAACATGATTGTAAGCTATTATTAAAAAAAAATAGTCCCGCTGGGTTTCTTGCTGGTTCTTCCCAGGACAAGAGTTTTTTTTTTTTGCGAACCAGTGGTAAATTAAAAAAGTGACCTTCAATAAGTATTTTTATAATCTACATTGAATAAAAAAATTTTCTATTTCTATTTCTAAAGAAGAGACCCTCTTTTGTCATGAATGGCTCGGCTCAACTAGGAAAGAACCACACTCTTACAGAATACCAGCATAAAATAACAACTTAATGCTGCTGTGTTTAATAAGGCGAGTGGAGAACATCAAATACCATTTTTATAGGAAACAAAGCATTCTATCTTAGTCTTCAACAAAATCTGTATTTGGATTCTTAATCAACTATAAATGTAGAGTCTAATGACTAATAGACTATATACTTGTTTGTCACTCTTATTCTAAGAAAAATATGATATATAACAATAAAAGCTGGGTTAAATATTACATCAGGAACTCAAAACGTAATTAATTTTATTAAGGCATAATTGTATCAAGAGAAGCCATTAAAACAAAAGGAGAATAAGACGAATGTCTTGAATAAAAAATAAGTAAAATTAAATGCAATAAAATACAGTAGTAGTTATTTAGTTAATAATAGTAGTTATTTGTGTACTAGGACATTTTGTTTATTTTGCATTCATATTTATACATGGTATGAATATGAATTATCATAATGATTTCTTATATTTACGCGAACACTACACATTGAAATAATACTAGTTTTTACGGAATTTATCGCGTGTATTTAACTTTTTAATTACCCGACGTTTTGAACGCTTTACAGCACTCATGGTCACGGGCAGGACTGAGATGTTCAACGTCCATATGTCATAGTTAACCGCGGTTACCATAGATTAAAATTTAACTTTTGTTCCGATCTATGCAGTATGAACTTATGGTATCTTGCAGTTGTATGCTTGGGTTGGGATTTAATTTTATTTATTATAGGATCCCAAGCAGATGGTAGCACCCAGCCATCTTCTCTATAGAAATTAGGATGTTTTTTGATTTCAATAGCCTCGCGAATCATCCTTGGAAGGAATCGGTGTTCTTTAGCGAGGATCTGCGGTCTATCAAATCTGATGTAGTGACGGGGGCGATCCTGTACGTGTTCACAGACTGCAGACTTCCCGGAGCGTCGATTCTTCACATCAGCTATATGTTCTTTAACGCGGGTTTTTATTGATCTCTTAGTTTATCCTATGTAGGAGAGACCACATTCACAATCAAGCTTGTACACTCCTGTCCAATCGATTCACCAACTTACAGATTGGCTCAACACTTAGCGAAAATACTCTCACCACTCAGGGGACATACAAGAGCACACATAAAGGATTCCTACCATTTTGTCAGCGAGATTAAAGACCTACATCTGGCAGACAATGAAACTATGGTCAGTTTTGATGTGCAGTCATTGTTTACATGCTTACCTGTTGAAGACTGCATCTCAATTGTAACTAGAAGGCTGGAAGAAAACAACACGCCCGTAGAATATGCAGTATTACTCAGACACTGCCTTACATCTGGCTACCTATTGTGGAAGGAGGAGTTCTACAAGCAAGTAGATGGTGTGACGATGGGCTCACCTGTATCTCCCATTGTCGCCGACATATTCATGGAAGACTTTGAGGAGAAAGCCCCCCTTAGTTCTCCCATAAATCCAAGGTTCTACAAGCGGTACGTAGACGACACTTTCACAATTCTACCTTTAGATAAAGTAACTGCATTTTTAGACCATCTTAACTCTATAAATTCTAAAATTCAGTTCACAATGGAGTTAGAGGCAAACAACTCCTTAGCTTTTCTAGATGTGTTAGTAATTCGGAATCCTGATAACACCTTGAGCCATACTGTGTATAGAAAAAAAGACCCATACAGATAGATATTTAAACGGTGATTCTCACCACCATCCTTCACAGTTAGCTACCGTGGGTAAATCTTTGTTTCAGAGAGCACGAGGGATCTGTGACAGTAAACACCTGGCTGCAGAGCTCCACCATGTCAAGCAAGTTTTGCATGACAACAAGCTTCGAGTCCCGCGCCTACGTCACAGTGAACGAGTGAAGCCGGCCACAGTCGAGCGTGTACCTGCTGTACTGCCATATGTTAGAGGAGTCACTGACAAGATTGGCTACATCTTGAAGCGCGCTTCCATCAAAACATACTTCAAGTCGCTGAAGAAGATTGGTCAGTTTTTACCATCGGTCAAGTGTAATGTCCCTCTGCAAGATGCAGGAGTGTACAAGCTTGATTGTGAATGTGGTTTCTCCTACATAGGACAAACTAAGAGATCAATAAAAACCCGCGTTAAAGAACATATAGCTGATGTGAAGAATCGACGCTCCGGGAAGTCTGCAGTCTGTGAACACGTACAGGATCGCCCCCGTCACTACATCAGATTTGATAGACCGCAGATCCTCGCTAAAGAACACCGATTCCTTCCAAGGATGATTCGCGAGGCTATTGAAATCAAAAAACATCCTAATTTCAATAGAGAAGATGGCTGGGTGCTACCATCTGCTTGGGATCCTATAATAAATAAAATTAAATCCCAACCCAAGCATACAACTGCAAGACTTCAAGATACCATAAGTTCATACTGCATAGATCGGAACAAAAGTTAAATTTTAATCTATGGTAACCGCGGTTAACTATGACATATGGACGTTGAACATCTCAGGCCTGCCGGTGACCATGAGTGCTGTAAAGCGTTCGAAACGTCGGGCAATTAAAAAGTTAAATACACGCGATAAATTCCGTAAAAACTAGTATTATTTCAATGAATTATCATTATCACAATCATAATTCTGATAAATTATGAAATATAATTTTCACAATATATTCTAAGAAATGTGACTAGATAATATATTCTAAGAAATATGAATGCCACTCATTTACTGAAATTGGAAACCAACAATGATGTAAACAATGTTGAACTGAGTTGAGTGTTGAGTCATAATTTTAAGTTTCAAGTACTTAATGTTTATATGACAATATAACCACTTGTATTGTTATACTTTGTGTATTATTATAATGACTTCTAGTTCAAATAATATTTTTAAGATATCTTCCAACACAAGTGTAGGTATAGAAAGAATAGACCATAATGCAATACATATATGTATAGGTTATTATTACTCACAGAATTATTTTTATCTTTTTACTAGATGATCAATCTTATTTTAACACTAAAAAATAAATACAACTGGAGTTAGCGTGCTATAAGCTGCACCCGATATTTGGCTAGTTCTCCCAGGACAGAGAAGTTCTGAGGATGGGTGACTTCCTTTTACTGCAATGTCCTTTCTTTCCGAAGCTGTAGTTCTCTCCAGTAGTTCTTTTTCATTGTGTCACAAGTCCACTGCTGAACACTTGCATGTCGCTGTCATTCAGTCTTCGAAATTAAAAGATATAAGGCCTTGGACAGTCACCCCGCAGGACTAAGACGTACTCACTGTCCGGTTTCCAGACACAATAGTAAGACAATAGCAATGACCCATTTGTGTGTCACGGGACAGTGAATGTGTTATGGCATAAGTTGTTAAACAGTTTTTAAGATTGGGTGTAATACCTGTTAAGATCTACCTCATACATACAATTGTTAAATCAATCAAACTGTTTAGTAGGAGCTTGTGCTTCTGAAAATTAAACTGTTTGGCCAATGGTGAGGCACAGTTGATCCAGTTGTTTTGATCTTTATTTTTTTTTTTCAAGATTATTATCGAAACAACATGCCAATCCAATTATAGCTTTTATTAATTACTGCTAAAACTATAGAACAAAATAAAGTATAATTGTATCATGAGTACTAATTAATTACTAACTATAAAAAACTTTCATTGACAACAAACAAACAGAAGATGTGAAGATAATTATCCCATCCTAGTAGCAAACCTGAATAATTCTCTTGACATCTTTGATTTAGGGTTGGTTTAATAAAACCCTTTGCAATAGATCGCATCCAAAACATTTGCTTTAACAATTGATCGATTTGCTATTGATTAACTAGTTTAGCTTGCTGGGCGATTGTTTTCCGGAACTCAATTATATGTAATAACTTTATGGTAAATAAGAAAATCCCATTTATGCTTTGCTTGATATATTGATATAAAAATTGATGTAGTAATAAGTAAAATAAGGCAATAATTTATAACATTTCAACAGTGCTAGTGCAAAATAGTCACAGATCTGGCTGTTTAGATATGATATGCAAATTAAAGTGCAACTTTTTGTATTTTTCGGTAGTATGAGTTCCAGTATTTTAAATGCTGGAAGTTTAACCATATGCAAAAGACTTGTCCAGCAAATAATTATATATGTTCAAAATGTTGGGGCAGACATGAAAATTGTGAAATAACCTTATTTCGATGCATTAACTGTTCTTGTTCACATATGGCCTTAATTAAAACCTGCCCTTTAATTTATAAAGATGAATCCTACTGCTTAAAAATATATTATATTTTGCAAATGATGATTTAATGATTACAATCTTTACAAAAAAACATTATTTCATAGACCAAAGTTGAAAATTAGTGCAAAATCAAGAGCTTCTTTGATATACTAATTTTGTTGAATCTATAGCTTTTAATATCGCTATAACCACTGAATGGTTAATAGATTGACAGCACTATGAGTAATTCAACTGCCATATAATCTCATTTTATATGTGGTAGAGCCATGCTGCAGTTATATTAGTAGTATAGTTGTAGCACAAATGGGTCAGCTTGACCAGGGAAGGACCACACTCTCACAGACTACCAGTGTAAAATAGTAGCTTAATGCTGCGGGTTTCGTATGGTGGGTGTAGAGAACCGGAGACCCTTTTTACTGGAAACAAGACATTCCATCTTAGTCCTCACAGGTGACAGTGCATCTGCATTTTGATTTGTAATCATGGATAGATGTAGATGTCTATGGGCCGCAGCAACCACTTACCATCAGGTGGATTGTGTACTTGTTTCTCACCCTATCCTATAAAAAAAAGCACAAAAGCTGGCAACTGCTAGGACTTCAGACTTATCAATTCTATATAATATTAACATAACATACATTATGGTTTTTCTATTTCTGTAATTTAACTTCAAAGACTTTTTCCTTCTTGTTGTTCATTTATTATATAGGTAGCATGAATTAGTACATTACCTTCTTCACCAGATCTGCAAGGAGGTGGGGGTTGCTCCCCAACTAAAATGTACTGCTCCTCAAGATCTTTCACTCTGCCTCCCATGGCATGGGCAAGGTCATTAAGCACATCTTTCTTGGTATACCAGCTCATTATTTAACTACAATTACAAAATAGAGAATTTAGAGATCATAAACTTAAAATATACACGTAACGTAAACATACAATCACGTGAATTCTTTACCAAATAAAAAAATTCAAATTAATAAAAGATTAGAACAAGAAGATTAGGCTATTGAAAATATTTATACGTCATATAATAGTATAAAATAAAATAATTAAAGTTCATGAAAGATTTAAGTAGTTACCCGTCAGGGTAAATGTGTTCTGTGTTCTTGAAAGTAATTTTCTTTACTTTTGCCACTGGTTCGGAAAAAATGGATGGAGCAGTCTGTCCTGGGAAGAACCAGCAACCAACAAAACAACATTCAGTATATTAGAAAGTACTCTGTGCCAACAATGCCAATTGTACAATATATTATTTCTATGGCCAGATTGTATAAGCTACTTACTAGCTTGAAACGATGACCGCTGAAAAATCCAATTAGTAATCTATGAATCCAATGCGGTCCACAGATTAAGAAATATGCAGCGGGCAGTCTGGTGCAACTTGCATAGTAAAAATTATATGTACGAAACGGGAGCTAATTTTGATGGCGGTTATCTTTACTTTCTATTTTCGCGTAGTTGGATGAACTTTTCGTTATATGTCTGGATGACTGTCAAATTCCTGTAATAGCGCTAGCAGTTATTCACAGGCGTACATATATAAAATATTCCTAGATTCTTATTAAGTTATTATAGTTCATGGAGGTTAGAGAATAGGAGAACGATCGCTGTAGAATGATCGCTGTGTCCCAGAAATATAGACAAAATAAGGGCAGCGCTGCGATCTCTAAGTTGTCGAGTTCTAAGTCGTAGAGCCACGCCGCAGCCTTTGCTGTTGCACGTATGGGCCGGCTCAAACCGGGGTTGTACCACAACCTCACAGAAGACCAGCATGAAATAGAAGCTTCGTTTCCACATTTCGTCTGGTGAGTGCATGTGGCCTGAGGCCCAATTACCCCCCTCCCCTTAACATAAAAGCGGAGTTAAAAATAACACTACCCCAGGAGGGTACCAGCACCACCGGTGACGGAGAATCCCTCGCTGAGCATCCATGCCCAAGCTCCCCTATTCTTCCTGAGCGTGGGTGCTCGGCTGCCCCTCAAATTCTAGGTGGGAGGTGGGGGGGTAATAATAAGTCAAAGGCACCCCCTGCCACGCTAGTCGTGAATTTCTGCAACATCAGGGGACTTCATTCAAAACTTAACGCCGTCCACTACCACCTGGCAACGGCGAAGCCGGCGTTGCTCTTCCTAACCGAGACACAGGTGTCCTCTCCGGCTGATATTTCATATCTCTCCTACCCGGGGTAAAAATTAGAACACTCCTTTGTGCCCCGGGCCTGGGGTTTGCGTGTACGTCAGAGAGGACACCTGTTCTCGACGCCTCGGCAGCCATGGAGGTTCATCTTATGGCTGCGCGTAGACAGCGACGACCATCCCCGCGTATACGGGTGCCTCTATAGGTCCCATAGCGGTAATGCTGACACAGACCAACTGATCGACCACGTCCAGATGGCTGCAGAATCTGTGCTACAACAGGTCCCATCCGCAGAGATCATGATACTTGGTTATTTTAACGCCCATCACGCTGAATGGCTTGGTGCTCTTTTAATCGATCATGCGGGTAGATTTGTTATAACTTTGTTTTGGCATATGGTCTGACACAACTGGTTACCTCGCCTACGTGGATCCCAAATTTGGAAGATCATATATCTTCCCCGTTGGACCTTCTGCTGACCTCTCATCCGGACAGATATCAGGTCTCCGATGGTGCCCCTCTTGGCTCCTCGGACCATTGTTTGATCCGGAGTACGGTGCTATTCACGCTCCCATCGCGGTTGCGTACTGCAGACTGCAGATTACCGCTGTATTTGGCAATATAGGTCAGCCGATTGAGACTGGATGCGATCTTTTTTTGCATCCTACCCGTGGAGGCGGGCTTGCTTCTCGCCGGATGGTCCCAGCGTTGTTGCTGATTCTGTCCATTTCCGCTGATGTTTTATTCCATTATCTGTGGTACCTATCGGAGGCAGAACCCAGCCTTGATTTGGTTTCTTCTGCTAAGTGGCATTACGTCATAAGCAAGAGTGCTACCAAGCCCGGGCTCGCGCATCGACGTCTCGAGATGCAAATACCAGTGCTCTTAAAAAGAAATATAATTCTGCTTCCAGGTCCTTCAAAAGTGTAATTCTCAAGGCAAAGTCAGAGCACATCAGCGGAATTGGCGAGAAACTAGTTCGTCTTCCTTCGGGAACATGTACATTTTGGTCTCTCGCCAAGGCTATCCAGGGGAACTTTTGCCAGCCATCTCTCCCATCTTTGCACAGGGAGAACGACTCACTGGCCCATCCCACAAAGGACAAAGCCGATCTACTGGGCTCGCTCTTTGCATCCAACTGGACTCTTTATGACGGGGGGAACACACCGCCAACCATCTCGCAGTGTGAGTGCTCCATGTAGGATGTGCTGTTTACCCAACGCTCGGTGTGCAGAGCACTTCTTTCCCTGGATGTCAACAAGTTGAGTGGGCCTGATGGCGTCCCTCCTAATGTGCTGAAGACGTGTGCTCCGGTGTTGGCACCGGTCTTAACGCATCTTTTCCGGTACTCCTACCCCCTAGGCCTAGTCCCGAAATCATGCAAGACAGCCTGCGTGCACCCGATTCCTAAAAAAGGTAATCGCTCAGATCCGTCCAACTATAGGCCTATCGCCATCATCTCCTTGTTCTCTAAAATAATGGAATCCATTATTAACAGCCAGCTCATGCGGTATTTTGAGGATCACCAGCTGATTAGTGACCGCCAGTACGGTTTCCGTTATGGTCGTTCGGCTGGTGATCTTCTGGGTTACCTAACTCATAAATGGGTGGAGACAGAAGAGTCCAAGGCATATATAGACATAGCGAAGGCCTTCGATCGGGTTTGACACAAAGCGCTTCTTACAAAGCTTCCTTCCTACGGGCTTGCCGAGAAATTGTGCAGTTGGATCACCAGTTTTCTGGCTGATCGGAGCATCAAGGTCGTAGTAGACGGTGCATGCTCCGATTACAAGCCCATTAACGCTGATGTTCCACAAGGCTGCGTGCTATCACCAACGCTGTTTCTTCTGCATATCAATGACATGTTGCAAACCGGTAACATTAATCATTAGGATTTGTATGAAATTATTTTGCATAAAGGTCTGTAGATATACCTATATACTGTATATAATCTACCTATCTACCTATCTATCTTCTCATATTGGACTTCTATTCCTAAATTGATCGTGTTCCTTAAGGAGCGTGATTTAACAGAAATTCACACTAGCAGTCTTTGAATGTATTGACTTTTTGTGCCACGTCCGTAATATAAGACCTACAACACTGCTCGACTAGATTTAGGCTCGCGGCATGGCCCATGTAAATTTTTCTCTGATCTGCTCTGCTTTTCGCCTTCAACCACATTTTTTAATTCCCTTTTCGGGACATTAAAAAACAGCTTGTCAGGTGTTTTTTCACTCGAATTTATACACAGAGATACAATGCAATACTTTCTGACCATTTTAATGTCTTAAAAATGCATGCATCCGAAACAAAACGGGTAGAGGACTGGCAAGAAGGCAACCGACTGAGCGAGCGTGTCGAAATGTGACGTCAAATCTCATCTAACTCATCAATATTTTAGTCATTTTAAAGGGAGAAAACAAATAAAGAAGATTCACTGTAAGGGTGTAATAAATTGAGACTTACCATATATTCGAATAGTACAGGTTCGGTGTTAACCAGAACTCTCAAGATTTTTCATGGACATATTAATCATCTCATCTAAAATATAGTACCTAGTATAATAATGTATTAGTATTCACGTTCAGGTAGGTAATCTAAATTGTTTTAATTTTAAAGGGAACATCACAAGACTACAGACTTCGAGCATTACAAATTAAATCGCACTATAAAACATTCAGCGGATAGATTGAAAAAACTTAGAGCGCTTCATGAAAGAAGTAGGCGCTTGACGAAGAAAGTAGCGAACTTGGAGAACGTGATTGCGGAACTAAAAGCGAAGTGTCTTGTCAGTGAAGAAGATGGAGATTTATTAGAATCGATTGACTCAGTCAATAAAGATTGATAATATATTGAAAATAATGAAAGTGTTTTAATTATGTTACAATGTGTGTGTAATTAAAAAAATTCAAACCAATAGAAGTTTTGTACCTATATTATTTATTGTGTTTATGTTCCCATCTCAGTATGATATTAGAATGATTCACTTTCATCAATTCTATCCTCACTCACGTTTTAGTGACACTTTTATTTCGTAAAAATGATTTTAAAAATTATTCCTTATGACACCCTACTTGTGTCTTATATATGTCACCGTAAAATTGTAAGAACCGTCAGTTTATAATTAATCTCGAGAGATTGTAACTCTCTATAAATTGTGAACGGACAGTAAAATTCATAATATAACGCATTTTTTTACGTTACTTTATAATCTATCGACGTCTAGCCGTAAAATTGTGAACCTGGAAGTCACGGAACCCGAAGTATGAGTTGATTGGTTGAATAACACGTTCATTCACGACGAATCGGAGCAAAATTTCACAATATAACGGTTGACATTATCAGAGCAGAAAGTCCGTAGTATTAAAAACAGTGTACGTCTGATTGGTCGTATGTCCACGTCCTTCACAAAGTTGCGGCTTGACATGAGTTGATTATAAACTAACGAAAATAGTTGCGTTATATTGTGAATTTTATTATCCGCTCACAATGTATCAAAACTTTATATTCTAACGAGATTTATTATGAACTGAAGGTGCTAACGATCTTACGGTGACATACATAATTGGTTCATAGAAGAAAAGACAAAACGAGCTTCTGTCTAACATACCTAATGTTCAGAGTTTGAATTATGTACGTATATATATATTTGACTATATAAAAGGAAAGTCGATTAGAACATGATGACCATAATGGTAGTGTTATAAATATTATCCATAAAACAA